TGATCCTTTTCGGGATCTGGAACTACCTCTTGACCACCAGCTTGGTGCCTTCACGCGGTGACGTGATCTTACTCAGGGATCGGCGAAGCCATTGTATATTTGTCATTGCACCACATCTTAAGGGCGCCCTCACTTGAACGACGGGAACGCTTGACGCGCTGGGTGAGCAGATCTCCTCATCCAGCATGCCCTGCAGCTGGCCTTCGATGTACTCCGCCTGCACCTTGGTAAGGTCGTGGTATGGCTCCAGCATGACCGCGGCGCAAAGTTCATTTGCCTTTAGCGCTTCGGAATAGCTGAGGGAGCTGGTATTTGGCAGCGGTTTGGTGCACTTGCCACTGCTCTGGGGAGTGCGGGACTCGACCGGGAGAGTTCTTTTGTCGGGTCTCGCTTCGCACGAAGGTTTCCCTCCGTGTTTCACTCGTCCCACTCGTTTGCCCTGTCCAGGGTGACCCTGCCTTGAGGGTACTATTGCAGCTGCCGGCGTCTTAGCAGGTGGCTGCCCCGCAGGAGTATATTTCCAGCGCGCGTAGCGCGTCACTGGCGGGAGCATCGTGGGTTGAGTGATTCTGACTTGTTGGCGTCCTCTTCTTCGCCCTTGCTGGGCTCCAGCCGGGTTCATCCTGACTGGGCCCCGCAGGTACGGGCATTGCTGCCCTCAAAGATGGTCGACACCAGCGCTCTACTCTGGTGATGCGCCCGAGGTGTCGCCGGCGTCGTGGATGGGCTACGGTTGGGTTGTTCACCTGACATGCAGCCACTGGTGTATTAGTCGGCTTCGCACTCGGGTTGTTCACCCGAGGGGCTGCCGTTTGGTGTTCTAGCCTGGCATTTGGGTTATATTCAACCTCGGTGCAGGCTTGGCTTGGGATATTTGGTTAGTTGTTCATCTCCTTGTCGTGCCACCCTCCTTTTAGCTCTGAAGCCCCCACTTGAAGGCAGAAGGCACATGGCGCAAGAAGTAACAAGGAGATATAGAGCTCCCCTCTTGACAGAAGGCAGGCCGAACTAGGTAGGAAGACCTGGTCGTCCCCCATCCTCACCAAGAAATAGCTCTTGCCCAGCAACCCTCTGACGGGATGCTACAGCCGATTGACCAAAGATGGCTAGCCTTCAGCCTCCCGTGTAAGGAGAAATCCAGGCCAAAGCAGTGTGTTGCCTTTCGGCTCAACTACCAGGATCCCTTCATCCGGGGGAGATTACATGCGGGGGCACACGGCACAAACATGCGGGTTGTTGCCCAGTAACTCTCAGTCTCTGTTGATGGTGAAGCCGCAAGCACCAACCACTTAGTGTCCGCAGAAGGTAATGATAGAAAGTGGAAAGGGATAGAAAGTGGGAAGGGATGGGTTTTATGGGATGGAATTGCGCCTGAGTGTTTCAGTTATATCTGTTTCGTCTAATCAGATCTAGAACAGGCGGCAATCACGAGAAGGATGACACCCAGACTTGCCAGGGGGATCTACAGGACTGTTGCGCTCTCCCCCGTGATCAATCTCCGTGCACGTCCTCCGTACAGGAGGACGTACCAGGTTTTGATCTGCTTCAGGCGATCTTGGCCTATTGAAGCACACCCAAGCCTGCCCTCAGTTACCCGTTAGTACGTTACCGCTAGATGGCGGTGAAAGTATTAGAATTATTAATCAGAATCAAAATAGTTGTAATTTACTTGATACTAGATGGCGCTGTTCTTTACATTCCATACAACTCTCGAACTATTGATCCTAGGGTGCAACAATATTAATGTTGCTATTCTGGGTTTGCTACAATTAAAGTATACATATGAACTAAATATTTTATTTATGGCTTATGCCAGTCGAGTATTTTATTGCCGTTGATTGAGAGGTTAAAATACTATATCGTCGTGTTATTGGGTCAGTCTCCACACAGTAGGAGATAAGGTGTAGATAACTTGTACGTGTAGATACGAGTACATATTTTTGTATCGTGTATAGTTATGATTTTTTATGATAAATTAACATTAAAAATGGGACATATTACAAGCCGTGTCACCTGCAGCTCAAGACTTCAAACTTAGAGGGAGGGGGATGTACTTATATTATATATTTATATCTGTAGTAAATTTTATTTTGATTGTATTGTTTCAAAAAAATGTGTTTGATAAAATATTGTGTCCCTGAGAATTACCGGCATAGGGATTGGCCTGCACATAATAATATATCGATATGATGAAATTTTTTGTAGTTGTTTCTGGTACTCGTAGTGGTACTCATTGTTTATTAACTATTGATTAAGAAAACAAAGGTTCTTAGTTCATCGATGGATGAACTAAGAACCTTTGTTTTGCGAGATTGGGATGGGATGGGATGGGATTGGGACTTTTGGGATGCGAGAAGCCCAAAATCGATCTAAGTGGCGTGCAATGGGAGAGGCCTATGTCCAGCAGTGGACTGCGATAGGCTGATGATGAGATAGATAGATAGATAGATAACTCTTTATTTGCACACTAAATTACAGAGGTTCAAGAAAGGAACACAACGATCAAATATCGAGTGTACAAAGGGCGGCCTTATTGCTAAATGCAATTTCTTCCAGGCAACCTTAGGATGGATCAAAAGTTGCAGAGAGACAGTAGTAGTTGAATATCTGCATTTGTGAACCTACTATTTGTTTACTACTATCTACCATACGAGTACATATTACATATACTACATATATCATATTATCTACAAACATTTACAATTTTTATACTTACATCTACAATGCATATCACAATAAATAAACCTACATATATATAAGTACCTACATACTATACCAGCAGATATACATATACACATACATATATATATACGCATTCTTAAATGAATAAACATATAGAAAAGAGAAACAGTTTCGTTACACCCTCAAGCGTGATGGACTCTTAAGGTGAATAAAATTCCTGTACCATTTTCTTGAATCTATTTAATGTTTGCGCCTGCCTGATGTTAAGCGGCAGTGCATTCCACAAGCGCACAGCTTCAACAGTGAAGGATTGGTCATAAAATTTGGTGGAATGCAGTGGCATCTCCAGTTGTAAACTTACGGATGACCGCAGACATTTTTCGTGTGTGTCATTAAGGAACTTGAATCGTTCTTTGAGGTAGAAAGGGGTTTTGGGATTGAACAAAATGTTGTAAAGGAAAATAAGGATATGAGTATTCCTGCGAGAGCGAATTGGAAGCCACTTGAGCATTTGACGGAATTCAGAGACGTGATCGTAAACCAAATACGAATCGTATACACATATTTTGTAGTCGCTCAAGCTTATCGAGTTGTGCTTCAGTGAGATTCAGATAGCTGACATCGGCATAGTCGAGAATTGGGAGGAGAAGTTCTTGTGCAAGCGCAACCCTAGTTGCAGTTGGAAGGAATTTGCGTAATCTTCGAAGAGAACCGGCTGAAGCAAATATCCTATGACTGACCTCTTGCATCTGTGGACCCCATGACAAAGTGTTGTCTATGTAGATGCCTAAATTTTTTACAGTAGTGCTTATCTCAAGAGTTGTGCCACCGAACTGAATTTGGGGCAGTAGAGTCCAGTTAACTTTTGAGATCAGCCTGGGGCTGCCAATAACACACATCTGTGTCTTCTTAGGATTAATCATAAGTCCATAGTTATAACTCCACTCGCCAATGCGTTGAAGGTCAGCGTTAATTATGTTGAATGCATCCGATAACATGTTAATCGGAGCTTGTGTATATATTTGCAAATCATCTGCATAAAGGTGGTAGAAGGAACTTAGTTGATTAGAGATTGAGTTTATAAAAACAGCGAAGAGTAAAGGAGATAGAACGCCACCCTGCGGTACACCAGCAGAAATACTGCACCAAGAGGACATGGAGTCATCAATGCAAATCCGTTGCCGGCGACCAGACAGGTAACTATGAAACCAATCAATTGTCCTTAGAGATATGTTAAGAGACCGTAGTACGCCAAGCAGAATGTGAAAATCCACAGTATTAAAGGCATTGCTAAAATCAAGTAAGGTGAGAACTGTGATCTTTCCACTATCCATGCCTAGTCTGATGCTGTCTGTAATGTGTACCAGCGCCGAAGTAGTGCTATGGCCAGGGCGAAATCCGGATTGGAAGGGGTTCAGTAGAGAATTTTTGGAGAGGAAGTTAGTCAGTTGAGAGTGGATGAGGCGTTCAAGTACTTTAGATAGGAAAGGTAAAATAGATATGGGTCGATAGTCAGAAAATGAAGAGGGTTTAGCGATGTTTTAATGTAGGTATTTCCATATGTTTCCACGTTATGTTACTTGGTCCTCATATATAATTTCCACTTGAAAGATCTAAAGCTATAAAGTTGTAAAATTAAACACACTGAAAAAAAAAGTCGTAGAAGTTTCTTACCTGACTTCTATCTAAGTATGTAAAGTAAGCAACCACCGTCATTGAATTAAAACTAATTTGTATGTAAATAGTTTTATTCATTCTATATTTACTTCACGTTTTCAGTGTCAAAGTTTTAATAAGACCACACACGGTAAGAAATCCGTGAGACCGGTTTTTTTGCTTGGAATGTTTAATACAGTAAAAAATGAACATAAAACCTGAAAATGCATAAAATATTCTTCTATAGCATTTTTTCGGTTCAAATTTAAAAAATGAATATGACATAGGAACAGAACATACAACTTCTATTAGCTTACATGTTTTGAAATCGATATTCCGATGATGTCAATGTAACTTCCTAAACCTTACTCATATTTTTGTAAAACTCGCACATATTTACGACCTATACCTATTTAGTAAGGTAGTGCGACAACATAGTGTGATTTGTAAAGTACTAAAATTTTCTTAAAACATAGGTTGGCGGCAAACCGGTTCGACTACCTTTAACATAAATAAACACAAAATCACTTATATCGCTGGAGTTAAATAGCATATATTGTTTAATACAGTCGTGCAAAAAGATGTTGGTGTTTTGTTTGTTTTCTTTTATAATAGTTTTATTGATTATAAATATATTACTTAATTATAATGAACAAGCTAGAATGTTAAGGAAGATCCCAGGGCCACCGTACGAGTTCTTATTTGGCAACTCTTTAAAAATTCTATGTTCATCAGGTAAGATCAATTGCAATGTTTCTACAAGGGTTGTCTTTACATTGAGGTTTTGACTACTCTATTCTATACTCTGTTTAGCTTTTTGTGAAAGTTTCATGAAAATCCACGCTTTTTTTACGATAAAATTATTTTTTCTTTTTGAACTTATATTATTTTCTACTTTTTGTTCAGCTAGTTACAAAAGCATGTTTTTTACTTTTTTTAACTATAATTTATTTTTCATTAATTATTAATGATGATAATTTTTCATTAAGACTAAAAAAGTAACAAGTAAGTCAGTCACATATGCTTCAGCAGCTCTTAGTACGTAGCAAAAGACACTACCGTATTTTTAGGTATGGAAAAAAGCTGTTAATGCTGTAGATCCTGATCAGGAGAATAGGCCAAATTCATCAAATTATTGCATTGTCATCGATCTTTGACAAGTGTGCGAAGTTTCAAATCAATTAGACGTCTTGAAGCGAGTGAAAATTGTGTGGATGTACATATAGGATTTTAACCCTTTTTTGTTTTTTTTTTTCCGTGCGGAAATCCCTCGGATACCACCTATCGGTGGCATGTCGGACTCGAACCGACTAAAACCGCACGCCGTCTCGGGTACTAAAAGCCGGGTACTAAACCTCTCCCGGTCCCGCTCCGCCGTCTCCTTCGCTAGCATAACTTGATCGCAGAAGGAGACGGCAGAATTCCACGAACTCTCGCTCCGCACGATAGCCGCAATCAGGCTATCGAGCGAGAGAACTCCCACTCCGATGGCCGCCACGAGGTCTCGCCTCTGCTCAACCCACGCCGGGCACTCTGCCAGCGTGTGGAGAGCCGTGTCCACGGTCTGGCCATCGCAGTAAATCTCAATGTTTTTAAACTTTGTGATCATAATTTTATTCATGGTGAAATTAATGTCGATTCTTTTAGCAATCCTTATAACTAGTTAATAAGTAGGTAATACATTTAATCCTTGCGGATCAGACACAGGTGATCCTCGAAACATCCTTTCCCAGTGATCACCTGCGTCAGTCGGTATGAGAGGGTCCCGTGACGCCTCTCGAGCCAATCCTTCATAACGGGTCTTACCGCCGCGATGACGGCGTGCCCGGCGCTCGGAGGATTTTAACCTAAATTTAGTTTTGCCGTTAAAAAAAATATTGTCAATATATCGATCTAAGTCAGTCAATTTAATGCGTTACGTTTTTATTTCTTTTACGTGTGTTTTTAAAAATGTTTATCGATAACTATTATGATTCTAGGTCAAAGTGAAGTATCTTATAGGTTTTTATATCGAGAAATAGGGAAGTGCCGAAGGGTCATCTCTTTACCAGAGCTAAACTTGTATTTTTTTTATGGTATAAGGGGGCAAACGAGCTGACGGGTCACCTGATGGTAAGCAACTACCGCCGCCCATGGACACCTGAAACTCCAAAGTCACAAGTACGTTGCTGCCCTTGGTGTCCCTCCTGCTCGAGTCAGCGGGAGGGGGGATTTGGGCTCCGGTAACCTGACTCACTCAGTGAAAGGCAACGAAAGAATTGCTTAACACTGGTTTTCTGTGAGGCCGTGGTATCACTCCGGTCGAGCCGGCCCATTTGTGTCGAAGCATGGCTCTCCCACTGTAAAAAATTGTATTGTATATCTCAATCGAACTTACTAAAACCACACGGTCATAAGTAGGTATTCTTTGCAGAGGACGAACGTAATCTTAAAATCTCCCGAAAAATCCTTGGTTGCCTGATCAGAAGTCCACCGTACCGTGGCATACGCAAGAATACTATTATTAGTCTCTCTGTGGAGAAGCATCAGAACATTCAACTATAAAGTAGGGAGTTGCAAGTTAAATCTAAAAGGCTTAATATTTTTTCATAGCTGATAAAATTATGATATGTAGGAAAATTATGTTGTTAATGTACAGAAATTAAAATGATTACAACAAAATCACATCACATCACATCAACAGCCTTTAATAGACCACTGCTGGACATAGGCCTCTCCTTAGAAAGAAGGTTTTGGCCTACTAAAAACAAAATACTGAATAAGAATATGAATATTTTACTTCAGTTCCACATGTGGTCTACTGTGCCTTAAATCTAATTTTTTGGCAATGAGTAGGAACATTGAATTGTTTTAGTAACGGCCTACCATAAGAATTTATTGAGTGTTAGTGCGCGTGTGTTTGTGTGTCAGCGTGTGTTGTGTGTGTGTGTATGTTTGCGTTTGTGTGTGCGTGTGAGTTGTGTATTTAACAATATAAAAATAAATAAAAATAAAAATACAATAGGAATATTTCTTATATTTTTCCTTTACAACTGGGATACTTACACCGCTTAATTTTTTACCCAAACAGGAAGATGACAAAATTCATCACGTCTGACGTCAATAGGAGGTAGGATTTCTGTGTTTCTTCTTTCTCTTAAATCTCATCTTAAATTTCATCATCAGGCAAACTTGACGGTCCACCTCTTTTCTTGGTGATCGATGGCCCCTGAATATAGCGAGTTTTTCCTGGATGAAGTTTGAAGTCCCTTAGCTTGAATGGGATTGACGTTTGCTTCTGCTCTCCTACTCTGCTGTACAACCTCTCTCTGGATTGTAAAGGCTGTTGACCCATAAACTTGGAAGTGATGTCGTACCATAAAATTGATACGACATCAGTTCCATCAACATCAGCCGCCTATTCTTCAGAAGAGCCCTGGTTTTTAGTTCTGTTAGCTAAAGAGATGGAAGTTGAGGACCGTGTTGACTTGCGTGATTATCTGGTGACACCTAAAGTAAACTCTGAAGTTGCACCTGATATACTGGGCTAAGAAGCAGATCCACGAACATCCACGTTACTGGAGATAAACTTCGTGATACTTTCATGTTACTAGTTGATTCCGCAAAGAGATTGAAGGTAGACTGAATTTTATTGATGTTATCATCGCTTTCAGCTACCGAATTACGGAACAAAGAATAAAGTAGAAATGCAATGTAGGCGGGGTATATTTATCATTTATACTCGTAATATGTATGGATATATCTGTTTGCATTGATATGTATGTTCCTATGTTATGTATAAGCAAGTATAATATGTATTAAAAAAAATGGGTAAATTTATGCGTGTTCTAGAACTTATCGTAGCAGCTATATAGCTATGTAATATATAGGTAGGTTTCAAACATAAAAAGATGATAAATCTATACTCTATACAAATAAATAAAATTTAAGTGTCTGTTTATTATGTCAAAATAATAGGTTTTTTCATGCTCACACGGTTACGATTATTTGTATATACCTACTATCATCACATCAACAGCCTTTGGTAGTCCGCTGCTTTACTTAGAAAGGAGGTTTTAGGCTACTATACCACGCTGACCAGATGGGTTGGTATAGGGTTTGTTTGGGGGTGGCCCCCCCCTTACGGAGACTCTCCAGCCCAGCTTCCTGCAGGGAGTGGTCGAGGGCCTATTCCCGCAGCGGGCGGAGCACACACCCCCGTCGATGGCTGCATCGGCCGGAGACGACGGGGGCAGCGAGGTTGACGTTCCGCCCGTCAGGGAATCGGAGTTGGGGGCGGCTGTTCTACGGATTAGATCCAAGAACACTGCCCCCGGGCCGGACGGGGTTCCAGCCCGAGTGATGGCCCGAGCCCTCGACTACATGTCGGACCACCTCAGGGAAGTGTTAGACGCTAGCCTGGCGTCCGGACGCTTCCCTGAGCGCTGGAAATGCGGGAAGCTGGTCCTGCTGCAGAAGCCGGGACGGCCTGCCGAATCGGTCGCGGCCTATAGGCCTATCGTGTTGCTGGACGAGGCGGGTAAACTTTTTGAGAGGGTGCTCTCTGCCCGCATCGTCCGGCACCTTTGCGAGGTTGGCCCCGATCTGTCGGACGCCCAATTCGGTTTCCGAGAGGGGCGTTCGACGATCGATGCCGTAATGCGCCTTAGGGCCGTGACCGAGGAGGCCGTGAGCTGCGGCGGAGTGGTGTTGGCGGTGTCCTTGGACATCGCCAACGCCTTCAATAGTCTGCCATTCAGCTGCGTCAGGGAAGCGCTCCGCTACCACGGAGTGCCGGAGTACCTGAGGCGGCTGGTGGCAGACTATCTTGAGGAGCGAACCGTCATGTACGAGGACCGAGATGGCGTCTTGAGACGCAGGGCCATGTCGTGCGGTGTTCCGCAGGGGTCTGTCCTAGGACCTCTCCTGTGGAACATCGGGTACGACTGGGCCCTACGAGGGCGTCTCCCCCCCGGGCTGGGTGTAATCTGCTACGCGGATGACACTTTAGTCACGGCCCGGGGGGCTAACTTCCAGGAGGCGGCGCGCCTGGCCGCCACGGGAGTTTCCCAGGTGGTCGGGCGCATTGAGGCGTTGGGTTTGCGGGTGGCCCTGGATAAGACGGAGGCCCTATTATTTCATGGGCCCCGTCGTGGTCCACCCGCCGGCGCCTCAATCGAGGTCGGCTCGGTCCTCGTACCGGTCCGGGCCCAGATGAGGTACCTGGGTCTGGTCCTAGACGGTAGGTGGCTCTTCGACGAGCACTTCCGACAGCTTGGTCCGAAGCTGGTGGACACTGCCTCCGCCCTAGGGCGACTTTTGCCCAATTTGGGCGGGGCCAGTGTTCCCACGAGGCGGCTGTACGCGGGGGTTGTCCGGTCCATGGCGCTTTATGGTGCACCGGTGTGGGTGGCGGCTCTGACCGCCCCGAATAGGGCGCGCCTCTGGCGCCCCCAGAGGATATTGGCGGTCAGAGCCATACGCGGATACCGCACGGTGTCCACCGAGGCGGCTTGCGCCTTGGCCGGAACACCCCCGTGGGATTTGGAGGCGGAAGTGCTCGCCGAAGTTTATCGGCGAGTGGCTGACTTCCGGGCGGAGAGCGGATTTCGCCCTCCGCCCGAAGACGTGCGCGAGTGGCGCGAAGCCGCTCGCCGAGCCACTATGGTGAGATGGTCGTTCCGGCTGGAGACTCCACGCGCTGGCTTCGCCGCCGTGGAGGCTCTCCAGCCGGTCATCGCCGAGTGGGCAGGGCG